GAGTAATGATACATGTATGTTTGCTTTCTATCAATAGGAGGTCTATAATTCTAGTGCCCCAGTAGCAATAGCTACAGTCACCTGTAGATCTGGTCAGTTCAGGAATCACTGTTCTGACAACCTGGAATGCATTATTGTAGCTTCAAGGTTTTCTTTTTACTTTAAGAAGAGAAAAACCTACAGTTCGCTGTGTACCTTTTGTGCCGTATCCATGATTTGGAGCTAGGCCAGCTGAGCCAAGAACTATGTCACAGCTTGAAATGCAGTGGGCTGAAGCTGAGACTTAAGAGGAACTATCAGAATGGAAATCAGAAAATCCCTGGAGAGAAAGTATCTCAGCTCCTGTAGATATCTATTTTCTTTGTACCCTATAAACATAAGCATTCTGCATCCTCTCTAGCCTACGCTGTATGGGCAAAAAGATGCAATTACATTTCAATAAATGCATAAGTATATATTTATTTTGATTTTCGTTATTTTCTCCACTTGATCTTAGAGCGTATTGCATTTTTTTCACAGCTGCCACAGTGCATTTATGTTTTTTTTTCTTTAAAATAAAATATTTATCATGGATATTATTGCTACAGTGTTTGCAATATGGAAATAACAGGGGATTATTGAAATGTATGAGCATAAACATTTTTCAGATGTTTAGAACAGGAATGGAGACTATAATAGTGTTATAATCTTTACACACAGTTTATGCATAGAAAATGATAGAAATCTGTCATTTTCTTCTGTCATCCTCTTTTAGGTGCCCACCCATCCATTTAGTTCATTAAACATCATTTTCCTATTGTATAAATCACTAGTTAAACCATATCTTAAAAGTAAGGTTAATTTGTTAGCACCTAATTTTAACCACTTCAGTCCCAGACCCTTTGAGCTCTTGAAACCCAAAGTGTTTCTTTCTGTTACAGAGTCTTGTTTGCATGCCTCCTAGCTTATAGCTTTTACAGTGTACTCTAACATATTTTACATTGTTTCAGTGCAGTTAGGGGTATAATTTTGTTATATATATACTCACACACACACGTGTGTGCATATTTCCTTGGTTTTTTAAGGCCTTACACTTAGGCACGACATAATGTGCAGCAACACACTTACATTAATGCACCACAATGGCCTGAAAGGTCCCTTAAACAGTATCCACAAGCATGGATCTTGTGATTTCCTACTCAGTATCTATATAATAAAGTAAAATTCACATTAATTCAATTACTTGAAAACAATTACCCTTCAGCCAAATGACACAATCTTCATTTATTGCTGTATAGTATTTTGGAATTAAAGACATTTTGTTACATCTCTTAAAGTACGTATTAAATTAACAATGCATATTGAAGGTCTGCTAAATTGTGTAACAGCTTGATGTTTATTCAGTATTCACAGAAAGCAAGTGTTTCATTAATTATTCATTATTAATTACAGGAACAAAATAAAACAACAATGAACGATTTTATTATCACGTTACACATTACAGCAATTAGACTAAATGTTATATTTTGCTTTAGTTGTGTTGGTTCCTTTTCTGTTGGATTGCAGAGTTCTGGTTTATTGTCAAAATAGCAGGGGAATGTAAAGTGCCTTCTGGAAGGCAAAGAATTTTGCATTTGAACATATGGGTAAACCATAGGAGGGCATATATACCCAAAGTGACCTCTTAATGATTAACCAAACTTATTTTGATATTCATTTAAATTCTACTTTTAAAAAAAAAAAAGTAGTACCAAAAAAATGTACTAATTTATTTAGGTTTGCAATCAATAAAAACATCTTAAATATATTTTTAAACATTTGTTTTGGCCTCCTGTATTTTCAAGGCCAGGGCTCTAACAAATCAGGTTCTACTGTACTACATATTGGAGGATATAGATATATATATATTATATATTATATTATACAGTATTTATAAAGCGCCAACAGTTCGCTCAGCGCTGTACATTACAAAGGGAGACAGAACATGCGACAGTACAATAACAATACAATGTGATACACGAGGGGTTCGAGGGTCTGGCTCCTTTGAGCTTACAATCTAGGAGGGAGGGGATAGTGGTACAGGAGGAGATAGCTGTGGGGGATGGAGTGATAGGAGGAGTGGAGGAGGTCGGCAATTAGCAGGGGGGTGGGGTAGGCTTCCCTGAAGAGGTGGGTTTTCAGAGTGCGCCTAAAGGAGAGGAGAGTAGGTGATAATCTGATGGATTGGGGTAGGGAGTTTCAGAGGATGGGTGATGCCCTGGAGAAATCCTGGAGGCGTGCATGGGAGGAGCAGACCAGGGAACTAGAGAGAAGGAGGTCTTGTGAGGAGCGGAGTGTGTGTGTTAGGTGGTACTTGGATATTAGGTCGGTGATGTAATTTGGGGCAGTATGATGGACAGCTTTGTACGTCACTGTTAGGATTTTGAATTTGATCCGTTGTGCAATCGGAAGCCAGTGGAGGGATTGGCAGAGGGGGGTGGCGGGATTGGAGCGGCTGGTAAGGTGAATGAGTCTGGCTGCCGGTCTGGCTGCCGGATCGACTGAAGCAGGCATAGCCTGTGGCGAGGCAGGCCAGTGAGGAGGAAGTTGCAGTAGTCCAGTTGTGATATGATGAGGGAGTAGATGAGCTGTTTAGTGGTTTCTGGGGTTAGGAACGTGCGGATTTTGGCGATGTTGCGGAGGTGGAATCTGCATGAGTTTGTTAGTGATTGGACTTGGGGCTGGAAGGATAGGTTGGGGTCCAGAATGACAGCAAGTACTCTGGCCTGCGGGGCGGGTCTGATAGTGGCATTGTTGGACGTGATGGAGAAGTCAATGGGGGGTGGTGTGCGGGCTGGGGGGAAGACTAGGAGCTCGGTTTTGGAGAGGTTCAGTTTAAGGAAGTGGAGCGACATCCAGTCTGATATGTCATTTAGGAGGTGGGTGATGCGGGCGGAGACTGAGGGGATGAGGCGAGGGGGTTGAGAGATAGATTTGTGTGTCGTCGGCATAGAGGTGGTAGTTGAAGCCGTGAGAGTGTATGAGCTGGCCAAGGGAGGGGGTGTAGATGGAGAAGAGAAGGGGCCCAAGGATGGAGCCTTGAGGGACCCCAACAGAGAGGGGGAAGTGAGGGGGAGGTGGTAGCATTATAGGTAACACTGAAGGAGCGTTGTGATAGGTAGGACGAGAGCCAGGAGAGAGCAGAATCTCTGAGGCCGAGGGAGTGTAGTTTTTTGAGGAGGAGGGGGTGGTCGACTGTGTCGAAGGCCGCAGAGAGGTCGAGGAGTAGGAGCACTGAATAGTGGCCATTAGCTTTGGTGGTTAGAAGGTCATTGGAGAGTTTGAGTAAGGCAGTTTTGGTGGAGTGTAAGGGACGGAAGCCGGACTGTAGGGGGATCGAGGAGGTTGTTGTTGTTGAGGTGAGAGCTTAGGTGATTGTAGACTAAGCGCTCGAGGAGTTTGGATGTGAATGGGAGCAGGGATGATGGGTCTGAGGTTGTTCGGGTCATTGGGGTCCAGGGAGGGCTTTTTAAGTATGGGAGTGATATGCGCATGCTTCAGAGGGGAGGGGAATGCGCTGGAAGAGAGGGAAAGATTAAAGATGTGAGTGAGGGAGCGTAGGATGGAGGGGGAGGGAGGTCGTAGGAGTTGTGAGGGGATAGGGTCGAGGGGGCAGGTGGTGAGGCGGGCATCAGAGAAGACCTTGGTGACCTCCTCGATGGTAGTAAGGTCGAAGGTGTGGAGTGTTGAGGGGGCTTCTATCTATCTATCTATCTATCTATCTATCTATCTATCTATCTATGTATCTATCTATCTAAAAATATAAAAATGTAGGTACAGAGTGTATACCCTTCATTTACCTATTTGCTCATTGTGTCTATTTGAAAGTCTTGTTTTACATTCATAGTCTGTTTAAAAAGCAGCTAGTCAAGTCTATGATTATATGTAATTATTTGAGCAATGCACACTTTTTTAACCAACAATGGCGTTCCTTCCTCATTATTTGATATTTTCATTATCTTATAAATTGATGATATACACTATAAATATATGTGACTGTTTTAATAAACTTATCAACAAGTGAAAAAAAGTATCACATTGTAGTTTTAGAACCATTTTGGGCTATATATACATATTTCGTTGTGGTGACACTGGAACATATGTTTGAGATGGTTGGCGATGAAAGGTTTAGTTTCATGGGTAGAACAAAGAAACACTGAGATTTTGCATTCAGATTAAAGTAGATGTAAAACCAATAACTAAAGTGTCATATAATCTCTAACATATTTTTTCTAATTTAAAAAGAATTTGAAATCATTTAAATCTGTACTTTTCATTAAAAATTATACATGCCATGTTCTTGACATGGACCTTGGCCAGGAACATCCTGTTATAGGGAGACAAAGTTCTGTCCTTGTTTTCTAATTGCTCTGGTTTGTTACCCTTACATATGCCTCCAGTGGAGATTATAAACAGCTTCGCCAATGCTGTTTGCGCAGGTATGCTCTGCCATCAGGACAGTTAGGATGCCCTCCGAGATCAATGACTTGCAGCAGCCACTAGGTTGTATACATGTAGATGGAAAGTGGTTCCAAAAAGGCTGGGAAAGACCTGAACCAGTACTGAGATGTAAAAAAAAAAAAAAAAAAAAGAAAAAGTGAACAATAAGCATTTTCTAAAAGAAACAAAAACTTGGCAATATGCAGTGCTGTAGAAAATTCATATGTCATCCAGTTAGGATTAACATCAACTTTAAGGCTTAATACATTCAGCTATAAAATTTGAGTGTGATGAACCAAGTATGTCCCACAACAATATAAGCTTGGTAAACATACAGGCTAAATACTGGTTCACATATATGCGGACTGGATGTGGTTTGAACCGCATCCAATTCGCTTGACATGTGACAAAACATTGTTTCCTATGGTGCCTGTTCACATACACTATATTGCCAAAAGTATTGGGACACCCCTTCAAATCATTGGATTTAGGTGTTCCAGTCAACTCAATGGCCACAGGTGTATAAAATCAAGCACCTAGGCATGCAGACTGCTTTTACAAACATTTGTGAAAGAATGGGCTGCTGTCAGGAGCTCAGTGAATGAAAGCATGACAGGTTGCCACATGTGCAATAAGTCCATCTGTGAAATCTACTTGCTACTTAATATTCCATGGTCAACTCTCAGTGGGATTATAAAAACGTGGAGGCAAGTGGGAACAACAGCAACTCAAGCAAGTAGTGGTAGGCTACGTAAATGACAGATTAGTGTCAGCTCATGCTGAAGCGCGCAGTGCGCAGAAGTTGCCAACTGTCTGCAGAGTCAATAGCTAAAGACCTCCAAACTTTGTGTGGCCTTCAGATTAGCACAGTGTGTAGAGAGCTTCATGGGATGGGTTTCTATGGTCAAGCAGCTGCATCCAAGCCTTGCATCACCAAGTACAATGCAAAGTGTTGGATGCAGTGGTGTAAAGCACGCCACCATTGGACTCTAGAGCAGTGGAGACGTGTTCTCTGGAGTGACCAATCACTCTTCTCTGTCTGACAATCTGATGGACATGTCTGGGTTTGGTGGTTGCCAGGAGAACGGCACTTGCCTGACTGCATTGTGCCAAGTGCAAAGTTTGGTGGAGGGAGGATTATGGAGTGGGGTTGTTTTTCAGGCGTTGTGCTTGGCCCCTTAGTTCCAGTGAAGAGAACTCTAAAGGCAGCAGCATGCCAAGACATTTTAGACAATTTCATTCTCCAAACTTTGTGGGAACAGTTTGAGCTGGCCCCTTCCTGTTCCAACATGACTGTGCACCAGTGCACAAAGCAAGGTCCATAAAGACATGGGTGAGTGAATTTGGGGTGGAGGAACTTGACTGGCCTGCACAGAGTCCTGAAATCAACCCAATAGAGCACCTTTGGGTTGAATTAGAACCTGCAAGCCTGGCCTTCTCATCCAACATCAGTGCCTGACCTCACAAATGCGCTTCTGAAAGATTGGTCAAACATTCCCATAGACACACTCCTATGCCCTGTGAACAGCCTTCCCAGAAGAATTGAAGTTGTTATAGCTGCAAAGGGTGGGCCAACTCAATATTGAACCCTATGGACTAATACTGGGATGCTAGTAAAGTTGATGTGAGTGTGAAGGCAAGCGTCCAAATACTTTTGGCAATATAGTGCATGTCTGGTGCACTGGCTGTGTGGATTCAATGCAGTTTGAAAATGAGCCATGTACGAGTTCTGAGTCGTGAAATCTGGTTCAGGTGCGGATTTCAGGTGCGGATTAAAGGCAATTGACTTCTATGGGAACCGCATATGTGTGAACAGGATAAAATCCTGAGCTAATCCTGTCCTGAACCTGATGTAAACCTGACCTGAACCATTGAACAACTACTGTATCAATTAGTTGTGAAACCTGATCTTCAATCTGCAAAGCACATATGTGTAGATCAAAACTGAACAAAAAACTAACTAGGCAAGCAAACTAGACAATAATTCGAATCAGAAAGGAAGGCAGTGAATAGACTAGCAAAAGTCAGCTCTAGTGAGTCTGAACATTCACATGAAAGTAAATTTGTATAACTAGCAATTTTTCCACTGCACCAACTTCAGAGAACTTGCAATGGTTCCCAAAAATTAGGACCTAATAAAGTGTAGGTTATTTTTTTGTAGTTACAACAAATTTCAGTAGTTGTGCTGCGCAGTATATAAAACAAAAGCAGAGCACAAAAGATCTAATAGCGTAGTAGATAAAAACAGTGAAATTTTATTAAATCAACAATTCACAAACTCACATACTGCTGTGTAGCATTAATCAATCAAGCTAAAAAATATATATGCACAACTGGAGCTTTACTCATTGCACCGCCTACAGAGATGCTTGAGATGGTTCCAAAAAAATAGGGCCTAATCAGAGGTAGGTTGTTTTTTAATTAAAACAAATTTCAGTAATTGTGGTGTGCGATAATACTTCAAGCTAGATATACTCTACCTGAGATTTAAACCCATGATCTTACTTTTGCACAAATGTGACCTTACCTACTACCTATTCACCAGATAAATGTCTGATAAGGCCCTTATTTTTTGGAGATGGCATGAGCAACCATGGTGGTGACAAAGTGGGTAGAACACCAGATGTGTATCTTGAAACTGCAGGAAACAATGCACCTACTAAAGACAGGATTGATAGATGTTAAAGGTTTGGAGGTGTTGTCTGCCTGGATACACAACACACTGATAATTTTGCACACACACATACTTTACTATGCCCTGCTTAAAGCATAAACTGTTCAGTAGATGATATTTATGCATAGAGTTGCAGCAGAGGGACCCTGGGGTAAATTCCTGACACCAGTACTTTGGAGAAATTAAAATGATCTCACTGGAAGGAACAGTATATTGAAAAGATTATTAAGCTTGGTAGTGAACAGTGAAAAACCCTTTACAGCCTACATCTACTAAAAATGATATTACAGTATTATGTGAAAGCCAGTTGATAAGAGTTTATCTTGTCAACAATTTAAATTCAAAAGACTTTACCCTTTCCCCACTAGATCAGATATAACTTGACTGTTTTAGCAGTTTAAGCTCCACTTAGGAGATCCCATTACTTAATCTCCCAGGAAAAAATGGAATAACAATTTACTAAGTAATTTATAAGTTACCAAATTTAGAGGTATGATAGAATTTAAGAATTAAAAGCCTGCAATGTGTTTTTAGAATACATTTAAATATATTGATAATCTACAGTAAATAAATAAAAACACATCCTACATAAATCATAATTATTACTATTTTTAATGGATAAAAAAAATATTTGATATATAACATGCCGGAGTGAGAGTACGCCTAGTCTTTGTAAGACTTAAAGACTTTGTAAGACTTTGTAAGACTTTTTGACTGATTACATTTTTTTTGGCCAGCTTATTAGGGGTTCACAAAGGCATTATACATTTGGATTTTTTTCTGGTTACAATAGGCGTTATTGCTAATTCTTCTTTTGATTTATGCTCTTTATTTTGTTTATACATTGATGAATACTACTGATATTGGAAAGTAATATGATTTGTTATTGGGGTTTTACTGTTGCCTATTTAAGATAGCTTACTCCCAAGCTTGTACAATTATGTGGTGGGGCCCTAATCAGCTTATACAGCTCATAAAAGCATGATTTTTTGCTATGCCACATAAGACTGTAGCCTTTGGTTGTAGCACTTCTGGTGCTTTTCTGTTTGGGTCACAATAAAATCCAGCTCATTGTAGTTTTGATTCCCACTGCCATCCTAGAACTAGAGCAATGAGGTGGCACAATGGTAGGCTGTCTAGAGACTACAGAGTTTCAATATGCTTCTTTGCTGAAGTGGCACACCACCAAAAACAATCTACTTTTCATCCCTGAGACTTACAAGGTAATGGATCTTGAGAGGCTATGCTCCGAAGACTGCCCGGGCTTCTGTGGCCCCTATAAAGTGGAAAGAGCACACAGACTCAACCTGAGACTGAGACAACATTGTGCAACCCCACATCCAATTACATGTTACTTTGACTTTGCTGACAAATCCAAAATCATATGTGCATATCAGAGTGAGAGGCCAAACAGGTCAGAGGTCATACAAAACCAGTTTACTTTGGCTATTTGGCAGCAGGAGACAAAAAGCTTTTGTGAGTGTCTGCCTACAATTAGCAAACAAAATGCTCAAATTAATCCTGGCCTACCTGACAGTTCTGTGCTACAGGAATCCTTATGGAGATCAATCAGTTTTCATATATGCAAATGACACTGATCTGTTTCACACCCCATTTGACACCCTGCCTCCCTCTCCAATGTTTGGATCAGTCAGACCGGACACTTTCTAGTTCTTGCCATGGAACCGACCTAACCACAAGATCCCTTGGGAACATACACATTTTGCCAATACTTCCTTTGTATGGAATATAAGCTAGCCTTGCTGCCTCTTTAACTGGACTATACGTTTATAGGAAAACATTATGTTGTTGATTCTGGCAAATGCATGTACAGCATAGGTTCAAAGTTTACTTTTTTATTCCAATACATTTTTATTGGAGTTTTTATGTGAAGTGTTACAGTGTTTAAATACAAAGAATGAATTAAGATCACAAGGTGGTAAAATTATTTTATTATTATTATACAGTATTTATAAAGCGCCAATGGTTCACTCAGTGTTGTACATTACAAAGGGGGACAGAACATGTGACAGAACAATACCAATACAATGCAAAACATGAGGGGATCGAGAGCCCTGCTCTTTCGAGCTTACAATCTAGGAGGGAGGGGATAGTGGTACAGGAGGAGATAGCTGTGGGGGATGGAGTGGTAGTGGTAGGAAGAGTGGAGGAGGTCGGCAGGTTAGCAGGGGGTGGGGTAGGCTTCCCTGAAGAGATGGGTTTTCAGGGTGCGCCTAAAGGAGAGGAGAGTAGGTGATAATCTGATGGGTTGGGGCAGGGAGTTCCAGAGGATGGGTGACACCCTGGAGAAGTCCTGAAGGCGGGCATGGGAGGAGGAGACCAGGGAACTAGAGAGAAGGCGGTCTTGTGAGGAGCGGAGTGTGCGTGCTGGGTGGTACTTGGATATTAGGTCAGTGATGTAGTTCGGGTCAGAGTGGTGGACGGCTTTGTACGTCAGTGTTAGGATTTTGAATTTTATCCGTTGTGCAATCGGAAGCCAGTGAAGGGATTGGCAAAGGGGGGTGGCGGAGATGGAGCGGTTGGAAAGGTGAATGAGTCTGGCAGCCGTATTCAGGATCGACTGAAGCGGGGGATAGCCAGCGGTGAGGCAGGCCAGTGAGGAGGGAGTTGCAGTAGTCGAGTCGTGATATGATGAGGGAGTGGATGAGCTGTTTAGTAGTTTCTGGGGTTAGGAACGTGCGGATTTTGGCGATGTTGCGGAGGGGGAGTCTGCACGACTTTGTTAAAGATTGGACTTGGGGCTGGAAAGATAGGTTGGAGTCCAGAATGACACCAAGTACTCTGGCCTGCGGGGCGGGTTTGATGGTGGCGTTGTTGGATGTGACGGAGAAGTCAATGGGGGGTGGTGTCCGGGCTGGGGGGAAGACAAGAAACTCAGTTTTGGAGAGGTTCAGTTTAAGGAATTGGAGCGACATCCAGTCTGATATGTCGCTCAGTAGGTGTGTGATTCGGGTGGAGACCGAGGGGGTGAGGTGGGCGGTTGAGAGATAGATTTGTGTGTCGTCGGCATAGAGGTGGTGGTAGTTGAAGCCGTGAGAGTGTATGAGTTGGCCAAGGGACGAGGTGTAGATGGAGAAGAGAAGGGGCCCGAGGACAGAGCCTTGATGGACCCCAACAGAGAGGGGGAGTGAGGGGGAGGTGGTAGCATTATAGGTAACGCTGAAAGAGCGTTGTGACAGGTAGGATGAGAGCCAGGAGAGAGCAGAATCTCTGAGGCCGAGGGAGTGTAGTTTTTTGAGGAGGATGGGGTGGTCGACTGTGTCTAAGGCCGCAGAGAGGTCAAGGAGTAGGAGCACT